GGCAAAACACTCGCAACTCTTGAATGTTACTGGGCTTCACCAAAGATGGCTTAGGAAGCTCAGCATCCTCTGACACATCTGCGCTGTCACCGGTAGCCAAACGAATGCTTTGCCTTGTCGAACTTGGTCCCCAATGGACAAGGCCCATGGGCTATCTTTCAACAAGTAGCGTTCATTTGAGCCACTACTTTGCAAGACTCTGATCCGTCGCGTTGTCCACCACCCGTGGAGAAAGTAACAGGCCTATTGGATTGTCCAACCATGTTAGGATTGACATGGCTAGTACCGCCAATGTTGCGGCCCGCGCCCGTATCACCGAACCATGTCACTTCACCAGTGTTCGCATTGAAGCTTGTGAAAGGCACTTCACTGAATTGCATTGGCAAAGCAGGGGTCTGATTATCAGAACATAGGATGCCAGGACAGCACAACGCGAAGGAAGACACGACTGCTTTAACCACCCCGGGGATCAAATCTTTGGCTGATGGCAGGTTGCCTGCAGCAACGTCAAACGCAGCAGCGACACTTGACCCGGCCTTTGGCTTGGCCTTAGGCTTAGCCTTTGCAGAAGAGTCGTGGACACAGGGACACGGATCCCTTCTGCATTGGGTAAAAGAGACATGGTGTTCGCTTTTCTCCCGCAACTACCTCCTTCCTATCCTTACCCGACCCCTTACCACCAGCTTGGCTAGACGATGAAGGCTGGGACTTCGGATTGGCCTGACCCTTGGGCTGGGCCTTTGAGGATGAAGCCATTGCAATATCAACATATCCCTTTTTGTTCGTGGACGACTCCGACTTCTCTTTCTTGTCTTTCTTTTTCTCCTTCTTTTCGGCTGACGCTGATGCTGCATCAACTTTCGACTTGAGTGCACTTAGGATAGACGCAGTGTTATGATCGTGCTGCGACTCATCAATGCAATCCATCATGGATTGCCATAACCATTGGAAGGTTCTGATGGCATCCCCAACGGCTGCTTGATTGAATCTGTCAATCTTCAACGCTAGCTTGGGGACATTCTTAAGGCATTCGTACAACCAGGTACGAAGGATGGGCTCAGCAGGATACTCTGAAGTTTCCAAACTGGAGAGAACAAATTCCACCCGGTCACGGAATACCTCTAGATCCTGTATCTCCACACCCTGAAGGTTTAATGCCAAAAGATCTTGTTGGCTCAAACTCATCCCCCGTTCTTTGTCGAGACGGAACTTGCGACAAATTCGGCCTAACAACAATAGACCCTGGACTTGCAACCCTTTGCGAACACTGCGCTCCTGAAGTGCTTGGAAATCCACACCGAAGCGACTTCCCTTGGCAGCGTCCAGGAGTTTGGAACCTAGCACTCGGCTTAGCACAGGGAAGTCGTCGGACTCGACTTCATCACCTTCTAAGGCACGACCTAGCCATGTCAGAAGTTCCTTTTCACTACTCCTACAACACGACACTAGCTGCGAAATTAGCGAATTCTTCCAAGTTCGCAGCTCTGCGGCCGACCATGGGAGAGAAGGAATCTTGATCTTCTCATATGACTTTAATCTCATCAGTTTCCTTTCTGCTGCATAACCGGGGTCAGGCTCTTCAAAGGATGAACCCCCGATGAATCAGAAGAAGAAATGGTTTTCTTCCCTTTTCCCCTTTTTCGCTTACTCATCTCGTCTGTAAGATTTTGGACTTCCTCTTGGAGAATTGCCAAAACTTGATCAACGGATTCATTGGTTTGGGATTGTTGTTGAACAGGTTCGTCTGGACCAAACAAGTCAAAACTCCCTGGATTTGAATCATTATCTGTTCCAACCTGGCCACCGGTTGCAGGCAGGGCGGACTGAACCGCTGCTCTCTGCTGCTTGCAATCGCACCAGCAAATCCTGATTCAGACGCGTGAGATGGGCGATCTGACTCTGCAGCTCAAGGACCACCTGGGAATCGCTGGATTGGGTTTGGCTACGAACATCATCCAAAGATTGCGCATGAACCCTTTCGGCTTGTTCAACTGTTTCCCTCAGAGTTTGTTGGTGACGAGATTCGGCTTCAGCCAAAGTCTCACTTCTAACATGTTCCGCAATTCGGGCACCAACGTTCTGGGTATGTTCCATGGACGCTCTTGCCATGTCTTGGACAGCAATAGCTTCGTCTCTAGCATTCTGACGGGAAACTCTCCTCTCTTCATTAACTACTTGATTATGTCTCAACTCTGCTTCCGCGATTGTGGCACTACGAACTGTGTCGGCGAATTGAGTGGCCGTCTGATGGGCAACTTCTGGGGGAATTCCAACCCGAATGGCTTGAATGGCTTGGATGGACCGGGCATCAACAAAGGTGGGACCTTGTGGAAACTCCGGACCCTGACCTGGATTGGCGGAATCTTGGAATCTACCTCTCCTAGCCATTGTGTTCTCTTCATCCTCCAATTCAAACCTACCAGCTTCCAAACCCGATAAATCACTGGCAACTTCCGAAGATTGAGAAGGACCCAATGCCTAGATCTACGGTTTGCGAGAGCTCATCATGGATTGGCCAACTGCCGCAACTGCCAAATGCAATTCACTAGACTAGAACCACTAGACTCTTGGTTTGTTGACATTGTGTGTTGGTCTCTCAACTCAATGCACCCTTACACTCAATCTAATCACCTGATCTATGGTGGACCACCGGATTTGAGAACTCCCTTTGGCTGCAACTCACGCACAGGCTGAACTCCCGCTTGATCACACAATTGCCTGATGACCTCGTCTTTGTGGGACGCAATGCCAAATCCCCGGCGAACCCGAATTGCAAAAACACCAGCACGGTAGTACTGATTAACAACCTCTTCCTGGTCGTCGATCGCTCCAACCGCTTCAAGTCCTCTTGCCAGATCCGCTGTCGACGATCGAAGATGACAAACAACGCTGGGATCACTGCAGACAGCTCACTTTTTGTCAACGCTTGGATGTACTCCTCAGACGCCGCACGTCCAATGTAGGAACGCGCACAGAAGGAGAAACTGTTGCGCTGAAGCTGAAAAATGAATGAAAGCACTTCCGGTCGATTGTTTGAAGCTCTCCACGGTGCTCGGCAAGCTTGATCGAATCACCGGATGAAAGGCGTTCAGGGAAGATCACCGTCTTGTACAGATCAAGAATCACGCAGCCCTTCAAGGATTCAAACAAGTCTTCCACTGAATCAAGCAAAAGTGAACCGTCCTCTTGGCTCTGAAACGCGACCTTATTCACAATCACACGTCCAGGAATCCAAGGACGAAGATCAAATACTGCCTGATCCACGCCGAGAGAAATTTCCCTCAAACGCTTCGCTGACCCGTAGTCAATCGCCTGACCACCAGGCCCCAACTCCTCCACCTCCTCTTCTGAAGAGATCTCGTCAAAAGCTGCTGCTGGGAACAGAGCCTTTGAGGTAAGATCAACAACTGGAGAAGATGCTTCTGCGCCGCTGGAGAAAGAAGATCTATTGACTTTCGACGCTTGACTGGGAGCAACTTTGGCTTTGGGAGCCTCGTTCGGCTTAGCACTTGGAACAGCAATGGGTGCTTTTGCAACACTTGATGTGGACGCACTATCACTCAGGATTCCACTCAGGCGATTCTCAAACGCAGGTGCGAATGCTTCTCGGAGCTTCTTTCGCTTTGCGCTTTTTCCTCCTCGTGGTCTGTAACGTCGCCCCGTATGCATACACAAATCGACTCCGAGATCAACTTCGATAGTAGCAAGAAAAGCTCAAAGGACCGTCAAGAATCGAATATGGCACGCACACAGACGAGTGATTAGATGAATGAATATGTAGGGGAAAGCCAGTACGGCTGATAACTGAATGAAAGGCTGATTATGTGGTAAAACCCAAGAAACGACACAAAGCAGCTTCAGGGGCCTCTTTACCTTGAGCCAAAATTAGTAGCACTCGAGGAGGTCAAACCCTACCCTTTGGTTGGATTCGTTCTGTATTAATCAATAACTAAATTAGAGTTCAATAGAATTAAATGCTAATTAAACGATATATTTTTATGAATTCAGTTCAATTTTGCTTTAAACAAATAAGCTAACATTGTGTAACACTTAAAATAGAATTGAATTAGATCAAAATTTGAAGTCCATTGGACATAAATGACAATGTTATATGCTAATTCAATGAACCTTTGATTATGCTTCAATTCAAGTCTAAATCAACGTCCAATAAAACTATACAGGTTGTGCTTAAAAGCCCAAAGAACCAAAGCACAAACAAAACCCAAAAAAACACTTTGAGGAGAATGTTTGGGTCAGCCTCAAAAGATTTTTTTTGTTCTGTTTTTGCTTTTTTGAAGGTTTATTGTAGTAGAATAGTTTTTTTTTTCCTAATGTTCCGTTTTATTCATAGCAAATCATCAAACACCAAAAAAACTTGTTTTTGGTTTTTGATAGGCTTCTTCAACCATAAACCAAAAAGAACACACACAAGCTTTTTTGGTTTTGGATTTCAACATCCAAAAAAAACACATATGGAAACCACAAAAAAATTTGAGGCTGAACCAAACATTATCCTCACGTGTTTTTCTTTTCTGGTTGTTTTGGTTTAGTATTTTGTTGCAGGTTGTCATTGGGGATATCTTTTTATTTGTCTTATTTCACAGTTTTTTTTATTGTAAAGTGCTTTGTTTTTTTATTAGATTTTTTATACCCCCAAATATGCATAAACGTGTGGGTTGTTTTTTTGGGTACCATATATATATATATATATTCTATTATATTATATATATGGAGTGTTTGGGACAAGGAAAAAGATATCAGCCATCTCAACAAACAGATATGCCCATCTGTGTCGCGCATCCTTTCAGCGCCTTCACCCCGAGGGAAAGAAAGGCTTTTCTTCCTACGAACGTGCGTTCAGTGGAGGATGAGCCGCCCCATGCATTTCAAAGTCCCTTTCCTGGAGTGTGTACTCCGTACTATCTTGTTTAGATGATAACATGTACGGTACCTAACGCCTAAGGCTTCGGAACAACGGGGTCTGACAGACGGGGTGGCGCCTCCGGAAGTCTTGCTCTTCAAGACGATCACACCGATGGTTCCGATCCTGTAGCACCGGGCTTCGACGAAAAAAGCATCTGACAGAGGGTCTGACAGAGCATGAGTGGTCTACACTTATTCGCGTGAGAAGGTCTGAGCGTTTTGGAGCTCTGAGCAACTCAAAGTGGGGTGGCACATCTCACGCGCCCCAAACCTTTTGCCACTGCCACTGCCACCCCCGTTGGTCCTCGGAAAATCCCGCTTCCTTCCGCCGCCCAACACGCTTCACGCCGAGCTTCAAGGCAGTGCCCAAGAGGCCGAGGCCCAAGGAGGCGGAGCGCGTCCAACGACGCGGAGCGAGATGCATGGAGGCAGGCTCCGGGAGCATCCTGAGAGGTGGCAGGGCGACCGAAGGAGTTGGAGGCGGCGAGGCCACGAGGACTGAAGAGTGGAGGGGACGTGGAGGCCGAGAGTGTCAACTCTCCAAAATTCGGATGGATGGAGATTCCCATGCGGGTGAAGCGAGACGGGGTCTTGCACCGAGAGGACTGGGCTTGAAAACCATTGTTCCCCTAAAAGTTTGGTGGCAAGTACTTGCAATTGTGTTTTTCCATCCAAAGCAGTCATCCTAAGTTCGGGAAGGTGGGCTCATGGTCCACACCGCACACCACTTTTTTGGGCAACAAACTAACCAAAAGAAACGAACGAACATCTCTACTGTAGGTGTTGACCGGCCGACGGCGTGGAGGAGGGCTGCCCGTGTTTGGGGAGCGAACAAACACGCGTTTTGAGCTGCCACTCGATGTCACCAGCTTTCTTCAAGGAACATCAAGGAACAGGGACGATATACCTTTCACCCAAGCAAAGAAGTGGAACAACGGGTGTTTGACAAAGGAATTCTTGGTCTTCCAACGGGCGACATCCAGTTGAATGAAACACTGAAACATTTGATTGAAAAATGGCTGGCAAAACTCGGAACCCCCTTAAAATGCAGCGCACTGTTATTAATTTGTTTGGGAACCCAATGAATATATCCTCAAGCTCTGGAGTAGTGCATAATTTCCTCCTTGAACATCAGGAATTGGGATGTACTATTGCCTGGTTGGTGGTTTCAACTCGCTTGAAACATATCAGTCAGTGGGGTCAATCATCCCTAGTAAAGGTTGAAAAGAACAAAATCTGAAACCATCACCCAGTTACCAATTATATAGTTTGGCCTTGAGGGTCCAGATGGTGGAAAGGTTCTTTCATAACAGGAAGAGGGCACAATACGATTGGAAAGTGAATGAGTTTCTACCAGGGAATGGCTAGATATGATATGACTCAGTCGGTCAAAAGTTTTGCTTTCGATCTCCAAGCCTCTCGTATTTGGTAGGAGCCATGATCACAAAAAGAAAGCACGTCACGCCAAGCTCGAGCAAAAGAGTGGCTGTGGTGGCGATGCACAGTGCAATAGATAAAACATGTGCTGCAATTGCATGACATGCAAGTCAACAAGTTGCAACAAGTCCTTTCAAAGTGACGCAGTGTCACAGTGCAGTTGGTCTAGCCTGAAGACTGACCCAAAACAGTTTCCCGAAGGGAAAATCAACTCTTCAAATCTCTTCAAACTCTTCCGACACGCAGTCCACGTTTGTTCAGGAAAGAGCATCCTGCACATGGAAGTGGAGTGAGTTCACCCCCCGTTCGGTTCAGGAACATCGAAACCTGCAAGGGACCTATGCCATGACAATCCTGTTCGTGAGAGTGTAGGAGGATTCTGACATATAAAACCATACAAACTCAGGCCCCTGGATTGGGGGTTTCGACGACAGGCCCCTGTAGAAAACAGAGCTTGGAGGCCTGGGGGGTTTTCACTCACTTCACTTCCATGGCTCATGTGCTGGTCCGCTCTCTCGTAGCTCGGGGCACGAGGACGTGAGAGTCCGGAAGCGCTCCTGCCCCGCGGTGTCCTGAGACCGACTCGGACCGCTGTCGTTGACGACAGCGAACAGGATCGACCAGTGTGGTGTGGTGGAGAAAGGGCCATGTGACTTGGGGCTTCTGTTTTGGAGCGAAAGATGGTAGATCATGGGTCCAAGACAGCTGAAGAGCTGCTTCGCTTACTCGTATACTTGCACCTTCAGATCATCTGGGATCTGTTTAGCCTGTGAATGGCCCAGGCCGCTCCTTTCCCAGGTCGACTTCCAACTGCTGCGGGGTGGTTCCTTCCCGGGTTCCTTCCTTCAGTGGGCAATGAGTAAAGACGTCCGAGCTGGGCTCGGCTCCTTCCAACATCTTCCGTCCGGGGTGGGAAACCCACCTGGAGGCCGGCATGTGAACAGCAAATAACCAATCCAATCCGGCATGTGTGGGGGATTGACTCTGAGCCAACGCCCAGGACCCCGGGAAGATCAACTAAATCCTTTGACCACGGCCAGTCAACCAGGCCTACCCAGGTCCCAGAGCCTTGATTTGGGCCCGTTGACCAGTCATTACCAGTCCAGTAATCCGAAGGTTGGCACTAAGGTCGATTGCGTGCCACGAAGAATGCTCCTGAGGGAAGGTTGCTTTCAGAACTCGCAAAAGCAAGTCCTCTGTCCTTCTCGTCTCCATGCCCAAGAATCACGAGCCAGTATCCACTGTTCTTTGTAAAACAAAACCACTGGCGCTGTCCCGAGGAGCTGGGACCGTACGAGAAAAGAAACCAGCCGAGACACCCAGAGGGCCAATTTGAGCTTCTTGCCTCTCACTTGCATGAATTTAGTCTTGAAGTCCACGCCTTAGTTGTCTTGGGGAGTGCTTGGAATTCCAACGTCACACAGACCAGCATGATGAACTGTGGCTATGGCCATAGTGGCATGTGCCTAAGCTATATGGTTGATATTCCTGAAGCTTCAATTTGCCAGCTGGATGGAGTTCTGCCACTCTTGGTAAGGCACATAGAGTGGAACTAGATGGGGTGCATGTCAATTCGCTGGCATCCTTTGCATCTGGCACTTTGCTCTCATCCATTGGCAAATCAATCATGGATGCCTCGGCGGTCCGAAAAAGATATCTTCTTTCAATGTCACCGCGGTGGGTCAATGTCTGCTTCTCCTGTCTTGATCCATCTGTTTCTACAGGTGTTCAAGATTATCTATATGAGTTGCAGGTGTCGGGCTGAACCTTCTAAAGAAACCGCCATGCCGTCCGAATCTTTCAGCCGTCGACCGAGTCTTGCTTCACTGAAGTGAAGGATGACGGACCGAGTCTCTACATCCAGGTCCGCCCATCCTCGTCTATGTCTATCCTCCATGATGCGTGCCATCCTCCCCGACCGAGCCCCGACCGACCCCGACCGAGCCCCGACCGCACCACGGACCGCGGATCCGTCGGTCACCAAGCTGGGCGGAGGGGCCAATGGTCGAGGCCTGCTTCTCGTTGAATTCATCGTCACCTCGGGACGGACGCCCGCGGCCCCGGCGGGCGAATTTGCCATCAGCTACGGTGGGCCGGGTGAATTTTCATGCATTGTCCGCGTCGAAGCCGTGATGAACGAACGCCAAAGGGAGTAGAGTGAACGAAACGCTTGGGATGTGTCTTTTTTTTGGGGGTAAAAGGAGACACGATTTAATGGGACTGGCATATTTACTGTACATACCTTTGGATACATTTGGGGAGTGTTTGTTAGGGGTCAATGTCACAGTATATTCAGTAGATGTATCTAGATATGCCAGGCTGCCAGTCTCATTAGTCGTGTCCGATGAGGTGGACGGGTCGAGCTTTTGGTCGCTGATCTCCGGTGTCCGTCGTCTCATCTCCTGACCTGCTGCCCGTGAAACGGGATTCCCTGTGCAAATGAATGGGATCTGATGTTGAACTGGGTGTCTTACCGGGCACAAGTGCCACCTGCACTTGTAGAGTGAGGCCATCCAACAGCAAAAGGATGTTGGTCCCTTGTTGCAGTGGAGGCTGCTTGGGGATACGTCCAGCCTTTATTTTTGGTGATTTTAGCGGTCCACACCCGGTCCGCTCATCCTCAACGGCAGGGCTGGGGTACTGGCCCACCCTCCGCCTGGTGCACCTGCACCCTGCATCCGCCGAACCTGGATCTGAGGCATGAGGGATATAGCCACTATAGACCTGCACGTGGCCCTCCAGCCTTCAAACCGACCCGGAGACGACCCTTGTGACGCGGAGCGGCTCACGCTAGCCGCTCACGTCGACTCGAAGGACCCTCCAGCCGAAAGTCGAAACAATGGCCACAGGAAAGTCTTGTTTAAGTCATTCATGTTTAAGACGTTTTTACCACTTCTCTTGCCTTGGTCTTTTATCACTTGCGAGGGAATACGTCAGTGATCTGAGAACTCCGAAGGACGCGCACGGCAAATGATCTCAAATGCGGCGCTGGTTCTTTGTTCAACCCACTTGGTGAATCACCGCGTACTTCTGTGTACTACACACATCTTCTGCCGGCTACTGCTTCAGTCTCACTCAAAATTTGGGTCTTGTGAGAAGTGCCCTGCGAAGCTTCCCCCTAGTTTTTCCAACTCTTCAGATGGGGCGTGCTTCCACATGCTTCCACCACCAGCACAGCTGTGCCCTGAACCTGTTTGGCCAAGCTTCAAAAACGCAGAAGTATTGAAGACTTGCCAACACCAGAGTCGCCGATGATCAACCTGCAGAGTCGCGGCGGAGCGGCTTTTCTTACATTTGTTGTTGTCCTCTGGGTGCCTTCTTTCCTGGTTCCATGAGCAAGTCGATGACGGTTCGAATGGCCATGCGGCAATTTTTCTGGAGAAGTTACATCAGGGACCTTCAGCAACATGGAAGTGGACCTTAAGCAACATGGAAGTGCACAACCATCTGGTTGTAACATTCCGGGTTGTGCCATGCACAGCAACTTTTTTGTTCAGAATAAAGGGTAGCTATTTCTTGGATGGGGTGGAAGGTGATGAATCCACGTCCGACCCAAATCTGCCAAGTTAGCACCCGAGATTAACCCAAACCCCCTGATCTGTGATAGTTTGTAAAAAATGTGTGCAAGCGCTTCAGACCAATTAGATGTATACCAAATATCCAGGTATATCTGATTCTTAACCAAGCAGCTGCTTTGGAAACAAAAAAAACATTCTCTTTCCTTCCAGTACTTCAAATTCCTTCAAATCTGCTATCTGCTAGTTGGCCTTGGTGCGACTGGTCAATCTTTTTGGACACATCACACGACACATCGTCCGAGCGGCAATTTGAAGAGATGATCATGTGTCGCGTCGGCCATCCGTTTTCCTCGGGCGCCCCAATTTGCGGCTAGCGCGCGGCTTGGACCAACGCCGCGGCTGCAACGAAAACGTGGGCTTCAACGGGTTGGCTTCACAAGGAGCAAGAACTAAAAGCGCAAGCGGGCAGGTGAGCCATGCAGATTGTTCGGTCATTACAACTCTGTTTTGCAAACCCTCTGCAGTTCTACCATGTTCACATCAGGTTGAATGGATTTCGACCCAAGAAGTGCAGGAGGACCTGAAACTCCTAGTTGGATGCTGGGAAGGAAGGCAAGTCTCCACTTGCAAGTCCCTATTTTCTCCAAATTGAGATTGGGCCTGGAACTTCTGTGGAAAAAGAGAACACCTTGCAACGCGGGTTTCATCACAGTCCACCCTGAACCTCGTGCAGTGACACTGTCCGTGATGTACATTTAATTAGAAAGCAAACAATTAACAAGTCTGCAAACAAGTATACAATGCCAAAAGTGGTCTGCCCAAGACCCATTTGCCGAAAAACAAAAAAAGAACAACAGACACACACACACACTTCGAACTTGGTTTTCAGTTAGACTCAATTGCCACGATGGGAAGGAAGGTGAGGGAACGGAATGGTGCATGAGTCAGCCAAACAGTATTGTTAAAATTGTTTCCGAAAACGCTCAAGTGATCGCGACTCAGCTGCGGTGCACAAGGTGGAGAGAAAGGTTTAAGGGAAGTATCATGCAAGGACCATGGAAACAAACCAAAGGAGTAGACAGCGTGTGCAAAAGTTCCAAACTGGCAGGTACACAATGCGGCGTCCCGCATTGCTTCACGACCGATCCATCACTGTCTTCGTTGGGCAGTGAGTGATGGTGGTCCACTGCCCCCCTGCTTCTGTGGAAAAAGGAAAGTGCCGCTGTTACAGTGGAAAGGTGAGCACGTGGAAGACCCTTAGAACCAGGGTGTGACACACACACACACACACACACGTGGCAAACATGATCACAGGTGATCACTCTTCTGCCTCCCAGCCGACGCTCCGATGGGATCTCCCTCTCTTATTTGGGGCGACCGGAGCGGCAGTCGCCCTCCCCGAGCGTCCCGCTCTTCAGGACAACTTCGGAACGAGCGGATCGCTGCGTGGTTCGGCCACTGACTGGGCGAACTTCGACGTGATT